AAATAGTCAGAATAGTCAATTGGTCAAAAGAGGACAGTATAAAGATGATAATTTTAATCCCAATCAAAATGAAATTAAACTGCATCCTTTATAAATGCTTCTAAATTAATCATATAAAGCAAACATAACTGTGCTAATTGCATAAGAAACATGCATTTAATTCTTGCTTAAGAATGTATATAGATAAACCTCTTCCTCCCAAATTACTTATTGAACTCTTCAGGCAAGCAGATGATGAAAAAATAGTATTCTAAAGCAAGAGAGTAATTATTTCTGGAATTCATGGATGGCTAATATTAGTTATTTATGTAATCAATAATATAATTCCTGGTTCTGTTTAAGGTGAAAAATGTATATATGATCACCTCTTAAATGCATCTGCACTCCCACCCCACTCTCCACAATTAAGCATATGATTAATTTAAATATCCTGATTGAAAGAGGATAGCTTTAGGAACCTAGGAATAGAAAGAAGTTTTCTGAACATGCAAGAAGTGTTTTTCTTACACTAACCATCAGCATCATACTTAATGGTGAAAGACTTAAGGCAATCATATTAAAATTGAGAATAAAATAGAAAGCTGATTAGGAAGACAAAAAACATGAAATAATTATTATAACAGATACAGCTTTTGAGAAGTAAAAACACAATTGTAATATTTGCAAATAATAGTATTGTAGGCCAGGTGTGGTGACTGACACCTGTAATTCCAGCACTTTGGGAGGCCGAGGTAGGCAGATCACTTGAGGTCAAGAGTTTGAGACCAGCCTGGCTAAAATGGCAAAACCCTGTCCCTACTAAAATGCAAAAATTTGCCAGGCATGGTGGCAAGTGCTGTAATTCCAGCTACTTGAGAGGCTGAGGCAAGAGAATCACTTGAATCCAGGAGGAGGAGTTTGCGGTGAGCTGAAATCCTGCCATTGCACTCCAGCATGGGCAACAGAGAGAGAATTCCTCTCAACAACAACAAAAAAATAATAATTGTAAACATAACAATAACTGAATCAATTGATAAACATCTAGAACTAAAAGTTATTGGATATCAAATACATGTAAAAACACCTTAACTATTAGATAGTTAAGGTTTACTGATAATGACCAGTTAGTACATGTACTATTGAAAATGTAAGATCATAGAAATAATTTTAATATAAGAAAAGCATGCTTGATTAGATGACTTTAAAACAATTTACCGTAAAAAAAAAGTTTACTGTAAGACATAAAATGTCTGAATGGAGAAGAGTGAGTAGTATAAATATAGCAATTCTTTACAGGCAGGTTAATTTAATTCCAATCAAAATTCCAGTAACATTTTTGGGGAAGAGATTGAAATAGTCAATACAAGGTCAGCTTGAAGAATATTCAAGAGCATCTAGTTAATTAGAAGAGAAGAGAAATAAAGGACTTTGTTTTACTAGATATGATAACATAAAATGAAGGTATGCAGAACATTGTAATAAGAACTAAAAGGTAAGTAAAACAAAATGGATTATCCTGGAACATATCTTAATATGAATGAAATAAATTTGTATATGTTCAAATACAACAATGTTTCAAGGGGAAAAGGAAATATTAATCAGTATATGTTTCTTTACAGTGGTAATATATATTTGAAGAAAAATTACCTCCTCATACCATAGTAATAAGTGGATCTAAAATTAAATCATAAACATAATAGTAAATACTGTGGGATGTCAATATCAAAATATCTCAGTATAGAAAGCCACATGCCAGGGTAAGATCACCATCAGAATAAATCAAGTTAGAGAAACAGATTGCTCCAAGGATTGAGTCCCAAGAACACCACTATGTACATTTCAGAGTAATGAAGAAAACTGAAAGTAGCAGCCATTGAATTTAAACATCCTCAGAATGCCATGGCTTGGGAAGTAAATTGAACAAAGGGTTTTAAGAAGAATGGGGTGATTCACGGTGGCAATCACTGCTGATAGATCTAGTAAGGTGAACACTGGTGGTTGTACATTAGCCATTAGTTCTAGTATAGAAGAGCAGGTGATAGCCTGCTTTTAATAGTTCCAGAGAAATGGATGAAGAGAAATTATAGATGGGACAGACAGCTCTCTGCTGTATGAAAGGAGAAGAATGAAGTGGTTACTTAGAAGGGGAGTGAGTCAAGAGAGTTTGTTTTTGCTTTTAAGGTTAAAAAAAAAAAAGTGACAATAAAAGAGGGAGGATGGATTAGCCAGAGTGATGTCGTCAAATGGGAGAGGGGTGGAATTGAGAACATAGGAGGAAGCTGTGATCTTTTCTGGAAACAAGAATAGTTCATCAAAAGTAATAAAAAGAGTCATAATAATTGGGCACAGATGCAGAAAAATGGGTGTATGCAGTAGCGGGAGCTTGTGTTACCTCTCTTCTGATAGCTTCTAAATTCTCAACGAAATAAGAGGCAACACCATCAGCTGAGGGTAATGATGGGAGGGGCTGGGAGGAGACGTTTAGGCTTGAGAATGGAAGGGAAGGTATGAATCAATCACCTAGGAATGTGGAAAAGAAAACGGATGAGAGAAAAGTGGCATGACTGCAGAGCAACACAAAGGGTCCATTTGAAAAGAGTGAGCATAAGTTTCAAGTGAGATTAGAGAGCACAACTGTCTTTTTCTACAGCCACATTCAACTTAGAAGGTGCAGGGATGGAGGAGATAATAGGATTCTCACGGTGTTGGAGTTCACGTGGGTAAAAAAGAAGTAAAGGAGTAGCAAGGGAAATGAGCGTTGCAAAGTGGCAGTACTAATGAAGGATCACGACTATTAAGCTGGTTACTAGAATAAAAGCATGAGCTAAGAAACAAGGAAAAAGTGTGTGCATCAATTGTGAGATTACACACGCTGAAGTATTTAGAAGAAGAGAGCTAGAGAGAAAAGACACAATGTTAAAAAAAAAAAAAATAGCACACGTCAAATGGAGACCAGAGAGGCACAAGGAGCTGAAAGCTAAGAGTATTGAAGAGTTAAGTTTATGGACATTAAAATCACTAAGAATTATGATGGAGCAGTGCTAGGGAAAATGACAATGAGACAGAGAAAATTGGCAGGGGTGCAAGGGGGAATCTAAAGGTTGGTAGGTGACTTCAACAAGCACAGAGAGGGAAGCATGAGGGTCAAAGCTGGGTGCTGTAGAGCAGTGTCTCCAATGTTTTTGGCACCAGGGACTGGTTTCACGGAAGGCAATTTTTCCAAGGCCTGGGTTGGGGGATAGTTTTGTGATGATTCAAGCAAGTAACATTTACTATGCACTTTATTTCTATTATTATTATATTGTAATATATAATGAAGTAATCATACTACTCACCATAAAGTGGAAACAGTGGGATCCCTAAGCTTGTTTTCCTGCAACTAAACAGTCCATCTGAGAGTGATGGGAGACAGTGACAGATCATCAGGCATTAGATTCTCAAAAGGAGAGCGCAACCTAGGTTCCCCCACATGCGCAGTTCACAATAGTTCGTGCTTCTATGAGAATGTAAAGCTGCCTCTGATCTGACAGGAGGTGGCGCTTAGGCAGTACAGTAATGCCAGGAGTGGGGAGCAGCTGTAAACGCTAATGAAGCTGTGCTTGCTCCTTCACCTGCGCTCGCCTCTTGCTGTGTGGTCCGATTTCTCAAAGGCTGTGGATCAGTACTGGCCTGCGGCCCAAGGGTTGTGGACTCTGCTGTAGAGGAGGATGGATATTATGAAACTGGCATCGAGGGGCAGGAAAACCTGCCCCACCTTCAGACTCAGGGGAATGAAGAGAGTGAAAATGATGGCTACTGCAGCTGGGTGTGGTGGCACTTTGGGAGGCCAAGGCAGGTGGATCACCTGAGGTCAGAAGTTCGAGACCAACCTAGCCAACATGGTGAAACCCCCATCCCTACTAAAAACACAAAAAATTAGCCAGGTGTGGTGGCGTGAGCCTATAGTCCCAGTACTGGGGAGGCTGAGGCACAAGAATTGTTTGAACCCAGGAGGTTGCAGTGAGCAAAGATCACACCACTGCCCTCCACCCTGGGTGACAGAGGGAGACAGCATCTCAAAAAAAAGAAGTGATGGCCACTGCTTAGGAGGGCTGCTGGGGTAGCAGCATGCAGAGAGAGTGGGTTTTAGTCAGAGCAAGATGAAAAGAACATTGAGGGAAGAGGAGGATTCTGCAGAAGATTCTTTGTCTGTTTTGACCATGAGTTCCACAAGGCTCAGTGGAATGGTTTCAGAAGAGCAGCGTAGGGAGACGGGCTTAACAAAGATGTCCACAGTTGTGGGCAGATTACAGTTTAGGGGACAAGTGGTGACACGGGCAACCTAAATGTCTTACAGTGACTACAATAAACAGGGTGGAACACATGAATTTCTGCTTGTTCTAATGCAGATAGTGGTGGTAGAGTGTTCAGGGTGCTAGAAGGAACATCAAAGAATAGAAGCGGCCTCAATTCTAAGGGAAATGGGTAAATTATGGGACAGCTGATCAAAGATTTGTAAAGATTTTAGGTAATATCTAACAACATAATATGACCTCATGATAGGTAAAAATGTAAAAGACATGAAACTGCATTAATGGTGTTATATAAATCTTACTCATAAACACATGTAAAAATTGGCAGGAAATACTTAAAATACTAAATTTTTATCTTATGTTGCATTTGGGGTGACTTTTTTTTCTTAATTATTTTCTGTAATTCCCAAATTTCTTATAAAAAGTTTATTTATAAGAAAATAATCAGAAAAAAAAAGGCTGATGTAATTTTTAAATAGGTGTGTCTTCTGGTGCTCTTCTAAGATGCTGTGAAAATTCTATTTCTTGACATGAGCAGTGGTTTTCCCACTTATTTTTTCATTACCTTTTAAAATGTAGAATCTGTGAATATCTGTTTCCCTTGCATATTTTGTTTCACACACACAGTGTGTTCCCTTGCAGTTTAGCCCGCCTCTGCACTGGAATTCTGAACATGTATAAAGAGAAATGAGTACGTGGACCTTGTTCAAGAAAGGCTCAGAGGACTACCTGGCATATTGATGTTTCAGGGTCACACAGGCTGCTGTGTCCATTACATTGACATGGAACACAGGTGCCCAGGGTCAGTCCAGGGCTGCGGCCACCTGGTTCAGAATGCAGTCGATAAAATCCCGGCAAGCATGCCTGAAAGAAAAGGAAGTCAATTAGGACAGCCAAATTAGAAACCTTGCATTAGCAATGCTTGAGCTCTACAGTGGCTAAAAAGGCAGACTGGCCTTCCCCTACTTAAGGCACGGGCAACATCGCTTACAAAAACAAGTGCCCATGTTGATATCTAATGTGTATTTCTTCCTGGACTCTGAGGTGTTCAGGTGGCATCCATGTGTAATCAGGCTTTAGCTAAGGAAAATTTTATTTGTAGATACAACTCAGCCTGAAAAAGTGCAGAAGAGTCTTTTTCTTGAGAAAAGAAGTTTGTTTTCAAATAACATTGTCATATGGACTAAAGAGAATTCCAATATCCTTAACACCTAAAATCTGCTTTTACAGTGCTTGATGGATAACAAGCAAATGTCCAGTGAAACACAGCAAAAAATTAAATAAAAAGTGTTATGGATGCATTGTTTATACTGATATAATTTAAAGACTATAGCAGTAAGAAATTCAAAATAATAAAAGCTCTACATGTCTTGGAACTATACACCACCATTAAAATTTATCTTTCCCTGATATAATTTTTTTCATTTTGTAATAAAAATCTGAAAGCAAACAGAAAACTTCTAGTGAAGCTGACATATGCAAATCAACACTTCCATCTTCATTTGGGTTTATTATGGAAATGTATCAACAAACATCCCTGGCTTTCTGAAACATAGGCCACTGTTCTGGAATGAGGATGAAGACAGCCTTTTGTTTCAGGTTCTGCCTTTTCTTCATACATAGCTGCAGACATTGCTTGATTTATGAATAAAAGTTAGGAGTCAGTTTTTCAAATCCCAGGGAAGATTATAAGGAGACTATTTTAACACCTTGGTTAAGTAGGATTTTTTTTTTTTTCACTGAAAAATCTTATGCCCATTGATGAAAGGAAAGTGATTTCTGACTAAGCAGGAAAAAATATCAGACTCAGAACTTTCTAGTGCCTCCAAATCCCTTTGGTTCTGGCCTAGGCAGTCCAGAGAGAAATATACAAAGAGGCTCCTTATAAAACGATCTAGCTTAAGAGTCAGCACTCTCCTTGTTTATTTTGATTTGGATAATGCAAAAGTACCTTAATTAAGCACTTAATCAAGAGACTCTCTGGTTTTATCACAGCCTAAAAGAAATTCTAATGAGATTTAATAATGTCCCAAATATGAGCGAGCTGATAAAGAAAACTGAGAATAGTATTCAAAATATTTCGAGTCTTATTTGTTTTATGGTGGATGTAATCATATCATTTAATGAAGTTCATACATATTATTCAAAAGCAAGGTTCATTTTTGCGATTATTACTGAATAAGTTCTGGAAATGATGGTCGAGGAATTCACTGAAGCATAACTGAAGAAACAAACCAAGATATATTTAAAAGGGGTTCATAGTGTGGGTTATTCCAATTCTTTAGCAAGCTGACCATTGAATAAAACTGAATTTTCTGTGCATGGATTTCATCCTTGAATACTTATATAATTATTGCTATATTATTGAAGTACTGTAAGTGCATGTGCGTGCGTGTGTGTGTGTGTGTGAAAAACTCACACACCTTGAGAGGAAATTTCCAGCCAAACAAAAGTTTAAAATAAGTCTTAGAAGAAAAAGAAAGATAAGAAGCAATAGTTGGGCAGGTGAGGTGGCTTATGCCTGTAATCCAAGATGTTTGGGAGGCCGAAGCCAGGGGATTTGGCCTGAGATCAGGAGTTCGAGACCATGCTGGCCAGCCTGGTGAAACCTCGTCTCTACTACAAATACAAAAATTAGCTGGAAGTGGTGGTGGGTGCCTATAATCACAGGTACTCAGGAGGCTGAGGCGGGAGAATCACTTGAACTGGGAAGGCGGAGGTTGCAGTGAACCGAGATCACACCATTGCACTCCAGCCTGGGCAATGGAACAAGACCTGTTTCAAAAAAAAAAAAAAAAAAAAAAGGAGGCAATAGTCTTCACTGAGGAATCATACAAAGGTTAGTGTTGTAGACCCAGACGTGAAGGTGGGCACTAAGGTGAAGTCTACTCTAATGCATAACACAATTTTCCTATTACTGTGACTTTTACCTCGACAGGCAGCCTGACACAATAGAAAAACACCCATGGAAGTCTGTGGTCCAATCTATCTATAGAGGAGGTGGAATCAATTCCTTTCAGGGAGAGTTGAGGCCCAGGTTTGTTTTAAAACTCTTAGGAGAATCTAATAATTAGGGTGCAATGTCACTTGCAAGCTCCTTATTCTCGGCTGCGCACGTGTGCCTTTAAAAGGGCATATGGACAAGGCAGGACGTAGTGGGTCACGTCTGTAATCCCAGCATTTTGGGAGGCTGAGCTGGGTGAATCAGTTGAGGTACGGAGTTTGAGACCAGCCTGGCCAACATGGTGAAAGCATGTCTGGACTAAAAATTCAAAAATCAGGAACTACTCTAGAGGCTGAGGCCCAAGAATCGCTTGAATCTAGGAGGCGGAGGTTGCGGTGAACTGAGATCCAGCCACTGGACTCCAGCCTGGGTCACAGAACAAGGCTCCGTCTCAAAAAAAAAAAAAAAAGAAAGAGCATACAAACTCTTTGGTACTGTAAAAGGAATGAATATGAAAGCTTTGATTTTATGTTAGTTTTGTCTGAGAGATATGGGCAAGTTACTCTGAGACACAGTTTCCTCATCCCACAAATGAGCAGGTGTGTTAACTCAGATGACTTCTAAAATGTCTTTCAATTCTAACACGTTAGATTAGTTTTGATTAATTTTGTGTCCTGATGGATTGCATTTCTATGAGGTAGGAAAAAAAGAAGAAAGAGAGAGAGAAAATATTTGACAATGCAAAAATTAGAAACTTAAAACACGTTTTAAAAAAACCACAGAAATTCTCTCTTTTCCTTGATCATTTTGTACTATTCTTTCAATTAAAAAACATTTAGGATGGTTTTCAATATTGAATGTTTTTCCTCTTGGCAAACTGAGACAAAGTTCATGAGAATGATTATGTTTGAATTGGAAGCAATAAGCTACTTTTTGAGTTCCATCTAAAATTCTTTCTGAAATACAATGGTGAATTAAAAAAAAAAAAAAGGAAATAAATACTTTCCTGAGCTCCTCTTATCCATTTCTACTCTAATTAAACTTTTCCAAAGTTCTTTTCCCCAGTGTTGAAATTATTCATGTTTCAAATTTCTTCTGCTCTCCTCTTTATTTTCATAATATATTGTTTCATTAAAACGTTAGATCATATTTACACAAAAATGTGGGAGGTAAAGAGGAGAGAATGAAACAAAGACAGCAGAAACCCATCATATCCCAGGCTCAGGGGTGCACACTACATTCCTTTCTTTCTTCAGTGTTTAATAATAAAAATAGACACGTGCTGAAGCTCATAAAAACACTCAATCTTGTTTCTTTGCATGGATTTTGCAATCAGGCAAACCTGAGTTTGATTCCTGTTCCATCACTTTGTATGTTGTAAGGTTCTGAATATTGTGTGCCTCAGTTTCCTCACCCGGAATGTAGGAATATTGTATAGTCATGTGCTGCTGCAAAATGACACTCTGGTCAATGATAGGACCACGTATACAACAGTGGTCTTGTACAATTATAAAATGATATTTTTATTGTACCCTGTTTTGTTAAAATACACAAATACTTAGCATTATGTTACAACTGCCTACTGTATGCAGTACCAGTAACATGCTGTGCAGGTTTGTAGCTTAGGAGCAATAGGCTACCTCATGTAGCCTAGGTGTATAGTAGGTTGTACCATTTAGGTGTGTGTATGAACACTCTATGATGTTTGCATAATGAAGAAATCACCTAATTACACATTTCTCAGAATGTATCCCTGTCGTTAAGCAGCACATGACTGCAAAACCTAATAGTTGAGTACAAGTTTACCTAGGTTTTGGAAACAGATGTATTAAGGTTTGAACCGCTGTGTAGGTGTGTGATAATGGACCTCAATTTCCTCACCCCTAAGATGGGGATCATAAATTATAGTCTATGATGTTGGTGTAACTGTATTAGAAAATGTGCTTGGGATGGTACCGGAGAGAGTAAGGACTCAATCAATGGTAAATTCGGTTTTTTATAGAGTTGTTCTGAGGATTAAATGAGATAAAGTATGTTTAATACATACATAAATCAATAGGTTTCTGTATTTCAAATAGTTTTTTAGATGTAATTGCTGGGAATAAACTAAAAATAAACACACCATGATTATTTTAAGTTGTATTTGTAAACAAAATTATAATATAACTTACCGATGCCGTGTTCCTTAACACTTGTCTGTACACGAAAACAGAGACTTTGGGTCTCCTGAGTACAACAGAAGTGATAAAGGATAGATGTATGCATGTGTAAGTAGGTAAGACTTTTTTTGCATTTTGCCTTTTGAGCTTTATGTAATAGGTATACATTATTTGGAGATTTTAAAAAATCAATTTTAGTAGCCATAAGGGCCAGCTTCTGAGTGGTAACCCAGTAGACACCAGCCATTCAGCTGTGAGCCTGAAGCCCTATTAAAATGTGGGAAGAGAGGATAGAGGCTGAAACTGTCAAAACATGACCTGGAGATCATTGACAAATTTCTGATTTCCATATTACTGCAGAGAGCTGCATATGCAATGCTGAATATTTTCCATTTTTAAAAAAGAAAGTTTTAAGTAAGAATGATATCTGCATATAATCTTTTAACTGCATATAGCTCAGTTTAAGTCAGTTTGGGCAATAACCTACATTTAATGTAACTTCAAGACAGGTTAAATAAAGTCTAACAAACTCAATGGCTCCAACAACGAGAAATTTGGTGAGGAAATGGTGTCCTTTGTTTGACTCCTGAAGGTAATCTGTCCCCTTCTGCAAATAATAAATTATAATAGTTAGGTATTTCTAGAACTAACATTTTTAATCACCAGGGCCGCAGTGTCTTAACAGTACAGGTAGCAGGCAAAGGCTAAGTGTCTTTACAACTGGCTACATTTTAGTTGTAACTAATATTTAATTTTGTTTACTTGCAACCATACTGTGGATAAAAGCATGAAATAAAATAGCCTGTAGATGCCGTTGTCTCTAGAATACCATATATTTTGTAAAAATATTGTAGAGGAATTGCTTTGTGTATTCATGACCCAAAGCACATGTTACTTGAATGGTATGTATTATTTCAAAACTGTCCTTAGCTCTTGCTTTGATGATAAAATTTTATGCCTGGGTAATTACACTTAGGAATGAAGATGAATTATAAATAAGATGTATAATGGATTAGAGGCAATGGGTTGTGGAGGATACCTCAGGTACCTTATTATGAGAGATAGGCTTTTATTTCTGTAATCTCTCTACTAAGGTATTATTGTAATTACTGTCTGTAAATAGATGCTTAAGTGAAAATCATGGGACATAGGTAAAGCCACTAATGCAGATGACAATTTGTAATATTCTTAGTTTTTTTTGATTTACATTTATCATTTGTTTCATTTGTGTTGATTTATATTTTTATATAATGATGGAACCCAACTAAAATTAATGAGAAAGCATGTATTTGAATATACTATTCAAAAAGTCTATCAATCATAAGAAGAAAAGTTTTTAACATTTAAAATGTACAATGGAAGGTCAGTGGTATTAAAATAATTTGCTATTCTATTAACTTTTTTTGTTTGCAAGTGAACAGTATTATTTGAAATAAATGCATAAAAAATATAGCTGTAATAACCTTCTCTTCAAGATATCTAAAGGCCAAACTTGATTACTTACTGAATATTTCTACAGCAAAATAATATTGTAGAATCAGAGAATTTTAGAACTTCAACTCAATCTGTTATTTCATATGTTCAATAGCTGTATAATAACTAAGCCCTACGGCAATTAAGAACATTGACCAAGTGCACAGAGTTAAAAGTACAACCAAACACTCCTTGGGATAAAGGAAATTCCATCTCTTGTCTAGAAAAATCTCACATTCTTTCTGTCCTCTATTTTAAAATCTTCAATGCTCACTGGAAAGGTCGCCCATTTTAGATATGCCACACGGTCTCATTTTTCACCCATACTTGATATGTACATATTTATATTGGAAAGAGCAGTGCATATAAGCTTACTGGTGTGTGTATAAATAGAAGTATGTAGGAGTTATGATTTCATAAGGAGATGGATTACTTAATTATTTATTAGCTCAAAATGGACACATGTAAATAAACATTGCCCTTCAGAGCAGTCACAAGAAAGGCTAGAAAATTATTCTAAGCATGTGTCTCAAAGTAGTTGCCGTTATTCTATAAAATTTTTCCTTGAACAATGCGAAATCCATGTGATGGTAACTAAGCTGAATGGCATGTCAGTTTATAATGGGTTTTTAAAAAAATGTTTCCATTTAAATCAGTCCTTACGATGTATAGATAAAAACCCAAGATTTGGCAACAAACAAAGCAAGCACCCTGTGCAAGTAGTGCAGCTAGGTAAGATTCACTGAAACCAAATTCCTTTTTCTTTTCATGATGCCATGTACCTCTCAGGAAATTTATGCTCATTATTTTTAAGTTTCACTTCAGTTTTGACCTAGTGTTATCTGTCTCATGTATCATACTTAATAAAACTTCTCAAATCCTATTTACAAAATAAGATGTATAAAATCATTAATAATTGAATCAATATATGGGTATATAACTAGTTATTACATTAATAATAATATTAACCATCGAAACTTACATCGACTACACACCAGGCACTATGATGAATCCTTAACATTCACAGCTCATTTAGTCTTCATAAGACTGTTAGGCTGTAGGTTAGGGAGATATTAATAATATCTAACTGGTATGCTGTGGGCACCATCCAGTCTGACTAAGGAGAAAGAATCCCAGCTGTAGGGCTAGAGCAGTCCTGGAGGCCCCATGCATGGAAGGCTTGAGACTGTAGGGTCTACGGGAGCATGAAAGGATGGTGCCAGTTACTCAGGGAATTGGTGTTTACCTGCTGAAGCATAAAGAGGTGTAGCACCTAATCCCAGCGACTCAGGAGGCTGAGGCCGGAGAATTGCCTGAACCCAGGAGGCGGAGGTTGCAGTGAGCCGAGATCGCACCATTGCACTCCAGCCTGGGTAACATGAGGGAAACTCCGTCTCAAAAAAAAAAAAAAAAAAAAAAAAAAGAGGTGTAGCACCCTGTGCAAGGTCTCAGCCTCACTGTACGGTAAAGTTGAAGATTCAAACCCAGGCAAGTTTCTCATCCATTCATTCCACCTCCCTTAAATCATACTGTTACTATTAACATTTCATAATTATAGAAATTCAATCAACTTTCAGAAGATGAAGATTCTAAGAAATCTGACAATTCTGAAGGCAGACAGAGACTATCCCAAAAAGCTTATTAAAATGCAGTTTTAAAATTACTTTTAAAATGTAAACAACAAAACAAAACAAAACAAAAAGTTTTACAAATGTAATGACTGATAGCACTGTTGAAATAAATATACGTCCCTCTGAGAAGCTTATATTTAAGGGAACAGCCTGCTATTTAGTGTAAAAGTTTTGTCATGTTCTGTATAAAAATGTTTCAAAACCCAGTATAATCCTATCTTATAATCACTGCAGTTAAAATGTCTCTAACTCTTTAGAAGTGGTCCAAGAAAATAGATCAGTTATAATAAATGGGCTTATAAAAACATTCTTAATTCCTGACTGTTAAATTTTTTCACAAATCTTTCAATTTTTTATCAACTATTTCCCTTCAGGTGTGATTTGTACTAAGGATCAATAACGTTATCCTCTTGCTACTGTGTCTCATACTGTGAGTGGAAGATTAAATAAAATAGGTTAATAGTATGTACGCAGCAAAGGAACTTCTGGGAGTATTTCCATTTAGCTCCTGAAGTGAGTTGAGGTTAAGCAGGTTAGTAGGAGCTAGCTTACCTCACAGGACAAGCCAGAATAGCCTAGGGGACAATCACATTTTTCAATCAAGTGAGCTGGAGGAGTCGCTGCTGTTCTACGTCCTTGTTCAGCTACCTCCATTGAGATTTCGGAAATCCTGGAAACAGCAAGAATATACATAGATTATCATGACAGTCAGCTAAGATCACCTAGTAAACACTCAATCCTACAGCAATATCCTTCTCAGGTTTTTGTTAACCTCCAGTATGTTCTATTGTGTTTTTGTTTTGAATTGACAAATAATAATTGTACATAAGTTGATCCTTGAACAACATGGGTTTGAACTGCATAGGTTTACTTATATGTGGATTTCCAACCCTTCCTCTTCTTCCTCCTCCTCTTTTGTCTGCTCAACATGAAGACAATGAGGATAAAGACCTTTACGATAATCCACCTCCACTTAATATATTTTCTCTTCTTATTATTCTTTTTCATTTTTTTACATTTTTGAGACAGAGTCTTACTCTGTCACCCAGGCTGGAGTGTAGCGGCATGATCTTGGCTTACTGCAACCCCACCTACCAGGTTCAAGTAATTCTCTTGCCTCAGCCTCCTGAGTAGCTGGGATTACAGGTGTGCACCACCATGCCCAGCTAATTATTGTATTTTTATTAGAAACGGGGTTTCATCATGTTGGCCAGGCTGGTCTTGAACTGTTGACCTCAAGTGACCCGCTTGCTTTGGCTTCCCAAAGTGCTGGAATTACAAGCGTGAGCCACTGCACCCAGCACTTATTATTTTCTTAATAACATTTTCTTTTCTCTAGCTTACTTTATGATAAGAATACAGTATATAATACCTACATAAATATATGTTAATCAACTATGTTATCATTATGACTTCTGGTCAAGAAGAGACTATTCGTAGTTAAGTTTTAAAGGTATGAAAAGTTATATGTCAATTTCTGACTGCATGAGGTGGGGTTGATGCTCCTAACCCCCATGTTGTTCAAGGGTCAACTATATTTATTGAAACAATGTAATAGTTTGATATATAGATAAGTTGTGGGATGATTAAATCAAGATAATTAACATTGTTTTGCAGCTGTTTAAATTTCCAGGGCTTATGTGCCACATCTTAATATTGCATTTTTGCTCCCTCAAATGTTAAGATTACATATTAGCAAAATATTCTCATAAATCATAAGAAGTTTAGTAAACTGGATGTCTGATATCCTATTGAGAAGTTATTAAAAAGATTTTTTCCCCACTTTTTAAAATGTGAGTAGCTTCAGGTAGACAAGGCCAATTAATTAGACATTTATATTCTTGCAAACAGACAACCCAAGGTCGTTCCCCATTGGACTATCTCTCATAGGCACTGGTGAAATTGCTTTTAATTTACTACTGTCCCAAATTTCTTCTTCCCAATCCTCTGAATGTCCTTGCAAGAACTTTAAAAAACCAATGAGAAAGTAATGATCACACATAATCTAATACATTGATTTCTTTCTGAGGATAAAGTATGCTCCAAAATAATATTTTCTTAACTTTATTAAATAATTTCTTCAAGTAATTTAATTCACTTTTTCTGTTGGTGAAAAAGTCCTTATAATTGAAAAGAAAATCAATTGAAAATAACATATTAATACCCCTTTTTATTGATTTGAAAGTATACATTAAAAAATATATGTAGTCCACAAACTGGTACTATTTTATGGACTAACTGGAAACACAACCATGTTTTGCATATGAAATTTAAAATGAGACAATGAATGGTTTTGTTTGAATAAAAGTTACCTCCAGTAGCTAAGGAATTTGAATCACAAACTTTATAACAAGCATAGGTAGGTGTTACTGAAACTGAATTATGAATGCATGTTCTGGCTTTGGTAGTATTGTAATCTGCACTCTAAAGACTGGTCTTGATGAAACAGACATTCAATTAAAATTCAGTCTTCACTCTCCGCTCTTTATAGTATACACAGTGGTGGTGAGCTGTAAACAAACTACTACCCTCCTGCAAGAAAGACTTCTCCCTTATGTTCTCTGGACTCTCTGAGGAGTAAGAAGGTAAAGTGGTGTTTGTGGAAGAGTCTTTGCATTGGCATCTCCATGGAGTTTTATAGCCTGAGGAGCTACTGGCATCATTCTCCTTTCTCTTGCACATGAATGCGCACAACAGACGAGCAAGTGTTTACAAATCAAGTGAAGCTTGAATGGCAGCAATAACAAATATTTTTGCAATACACCATTTTTTTTTCAGGGGATTAGAGAGCAATGGCTTTGATTGCATCAGGGATTTGGCCAAACTCCAGCTTCCATTTAAATAAATACTGATTTGCGAAAGTTGCTATTTCCTTAAAATAAACTTTATAAAAGAAAAGAACAGCAAAGAAAAAAAGATAATGCCAGCACTGATACAATGTATAAAGTTCAAATCTCAAACCACATATTAACTCTTAAACTCTCTCCTGTTGAGATTAAAATTTATAATTGAATAAATAAAGACACAGGGTTATTTTAATTACTTTAGGGGGACAATTGAAACCTTTTAAAAACCTTTGCCACCATTCCACTGCCTTACAAAATCAAATGCTGATGACATGCCTTATTTGTTCTTGCCATTGTGAGACTATTAACCTAATTTTTACTGAGATTGGAAAAGTGTTCTAAAGTTTCAAAAAAATGGTCACTTAAACCAAAGGATCTCATTAAGTGAGGCATGTAAAACAGTGTGATAAAAGAAAAAAATAGACATGGGGAAAAAAAGACAAAGTGTCCCACTGTAGGAAGGTAAAATTTGTGTGAGAGAGGCAAAGAATGTATAATTAAAGGTGCATGACAACATTGTTTCCATCAGTTCCGCTAACAAGATGTTCTGTTTACTACCAAACCCTTTCACTGCAGTACAGAACAATTTGCAAAATAATCTATTTGCAAACTCATGAAATTACCTGCTATTTTCTGAGACATGCAAATCTGCTATGGCTTCTGCCACGTAATTTACATTTGATATTCTAAAATAATTAACAGTATAGCTAACAGTGTTTTTTAAGTATATGCTTTTTAAAAAATTATTTCATATAAAAAGAATCTCCTTTTACAGTGAGAAATATCAAGAGAAAGCCAAAGGAATACAGATATGAAAGCGAATTTTGGTCCTTGATTTACTGTTTTACTAAAAGTCCCTACATCAATCAGAAAAGGATTATGGATTTTCTGCATGAAATAAAAGATTTTCTGCTGTCTTGTGTGCTTATTACAGTATAAACACTTGAAAAATGGTATTTTTATATTCATTAGTTGGCCAATGAGAGACTTCATAATGTTTTTGTTTTGTTTTCCTAGGCAAGTCTAATAATCTAAGACTATTTACAAACATATATTGATTCTATATTCTTATAGAACCTAACAGAAACTGAAATGAAAGAGAAATTGAGATCTTGTAGATGAACTCAGCCCGTGGTATGAAACTTACCTACATCTGTGTGATTTCTCATTTTATTCCATTGAATAAGGTGAACTTTCCACTCAAGGACCATGATCATGAGTGCTCATGATATGGAAGTCTCTGGGTTCAGTTATTCTCTGGTTTAGTTATTCTCTGGTTTATTCTCTCTTTATTTATATTTTAATATTTTCCTCATTACTAATCCTTTCCCATGGTCTATAAACATACTCTTTGAAATTAAACAGTTATCTCTTTACTTTTGACAGTAAGTTATTCCTTCTTTCTATGATTATATTCATGGAAAATAACAGTTTACACTCATAATATTGGGCTCATGTGTCACATTCTTTCTTTAAAAGTTTGAGATTATTTCTGCCCCAGGACTCCACTGAAACTGGTGTCATGAATGTTACCTGTGTGGTCCGAAGTGTCAGACCCATCAAGCCTCATTTTAATTGGCCAATTTGAGTCATAAGAAAACACAGAATACTCCCTTGAAGTATTCCCACCGTTCAGGTTCAACAACATTGTATTTGTTCTTGCTGTTCTGTGTTTTTCTAGATGTGATTCAGAATCATTTCTCATCATGAGGCATAGGGAAAGTGACAACATTGTATGGCACACTGGGGTGAACAGATGAGAATGCTTATGGCTGGAGGAGACTGGACTGAACTGGCCCTGCCTCGTTCCCCTTATGGGTGAAGACGGTCACTTTCTCAGCACTCTTATAATCCATTTATAGCACGACAGTTAATTTTGCCTGACCTATAGTACATGATCTCCTGAATTTATAACTAGCATCTTAAACTCACTATATCTGCAGTGAATTTCATTTTTTTTTTTACCCTCAAACTTGCTTCTCATGCTATTTTTCTTTTCTGATGAATGGCAGTAACTTCTTCCAAGTCACACGGAAGGCACCTTTGGTTTGTCTTCTATCACCATACTCCAAAACCAACTACTTCCCAATCTTTCTTATCTGATAGCTATAGGTCAATAACCTTCCCTATAGACTCTAGAATAAGAGCTTGAGTTTTTTTTTTTATTATACTTCTGGGGTACAAGTGCAGAACGTGCAGATTTCTTACATAGGTATACACATGCCATAGTGGTTTGCTGCATCCATCACTCTGTCATCTACATTAGATATTTCTCCTAATGTTATCCCTCCCTCCCCTATATCCCCACTCCCTGCTATCCCTCCCCTAGCCCCCCACTCCCTGACAGGTCCCATTGTGTGATGTTCCCCTCCCTGTGTCCATGTGTTCTCATTGTTCAACATCCACTTATGAGTGAGAACATGCGATGTTTGGTTTTCTGTTCTTGTGTCAGTTGCTGAGAATGAGGTTTTCCAGCTTTATCCATGTCCTTGCAAAGGACATAAACTAATCCTTTTTATGGCTGCATGGTATTCCATGGTGTGTATGTACCACATTTTCTTTATCCATTCTATCATTGATGGGCATTTGGGTTGGTTTCAAGTCTTTGCTATTATGAACAGTGCCACAATAAACACACATGTGCATGTATCTTTACAACAGAATGATTTATAATCCTTTGGGTATAAGAGTTTGAATATTTTATATTATAGTTTACCTGCTTTGTCGCATGATATTTCCGTAAGTAGCCTTGATAAGAATGTAATGAATATCATACAGTATATCCAAGAAATCTTCCCGGGTCACAGTTCTATGTATTCGAGGATCGTCCCCATAATATTTCCATTCTTTCTGTTAACAAGAAGAGAAATCTCTCTGACAAAGCTGAATGCAAAACCCTGGGCATCTTTGTCCCAAACAATGAATAACTTTACCTCTGTCATTTCAATTTCATGCCTTGTCAATTGGCCAATCAGAGGAGCAGCCATATGTCTGACCATTATTCTAGCATGCGTAGGTGTCCCACCTCGAATGATCACTTGAGGATTATATCTAGAGAAACCTGTTTCTTCTCGAGCCTCGAAATAGATTGCATACTTGAGTTTGCCCCCATAGGCCGTCAACTGACAAAATAAAAAGAAGAATGAGGAATTGGATAAATCTCTAAATGGTGTGATTCTAAAAACAAGATTTTATCTTGTTCTTGCTTGACGTCAAAGTTCTTGTGCTTACCTTCTTTCCTTCAAATTGTTCTGGAAGTTTCCAATAAAACGGTTCCAAATGGAGATCTTGTCTTACCAGGTCCATGTCAGCAATAATCTCTGGATGTTGAAAAGCAACGCCCTTGGTGGTCGTGTGCTGCAGAGCCTCATCTACCAGGGGTAGAATGGTCTGCTCAGCCTTCAGAGTCACCTGTAAGGGGCCAAAAGACAGCAGAAGGCTAAATTTATGTTTTTGGACATTTCTTTAAAACTAAGCTATGAACTGCATGTTTCTCTGCAGTCCCTATCCCCATTCTCACAAGCAGCAGAACTCACACATAGTGGGCAAGCATGGCAGGACATAAATCTTTTGACTAATTCACGCAGTGAAAACCACAGTATTTGTGAAGAGTGGAGTCTTTTACACTAATAAAAATGGAATCTAAATGTAGAAAGAGTTAAAGGAAAATAAAAAATGAACATGTTTCCACTCCAAAAATCATGATTGCCTAAGGTTGGTTGGAAGGAATGTACAAGTCCTGGTTCTCATCAGCGCGTTAGCGCCCATCAGCATTCATGCTCTGGTGCCCTCACTCTTTCCATCCCAAAGCGTAATGCTTCCCTGACAAGGTTCCTCTTTTTCACTTGCTATCTATTTCCTTATCAACAATAAACGAACTACTTTTAAGAACAAATAAGAAAGGCATGTACTCCAACTGTCTAAGGGCACATGGCCCCTTTGCTCTTCCTAAATGTGCACAGAGGAAAAGGTTACTTAAATGTTTTGCCATTTCCTATTACCCCTCAGTGCCTGACTACAAGACGCCAGCAGGAACTAACATTATACCATTACATTTCTCAGCAGTCTCCTACTCACCCACGTCCGGATCAGCCCTTTTGCTTCAGAGCACTGAGTAGTAGCGCCAAAGCAATAGCAGCTGCTGCAGCCAAGTGGATTCTTGGCATCAAGTCCGAATTTGCCAGGTTGGCATCTGTCACAGTGGACGCCTTCCACATTCACCTGAAGAAAGACAAGAGACCCTCAGAGTTTATGACAGCAAAGTTATGGGGGAAATCACCTTGAAAATTAATAATAGGAGCACATACTCTTTTTAAAAAATTTAAAACCTAACAAAAGAACACTGAGTATTAGACTCACATCTCAAATGGCACATGTAGTTAACCTCATTGTTAGGAGTTCATGGGTCTTTCAAAAATTGCTTATTTATAAATAGATATAAGACTAAGGGTATTGTACATTGTTTTCTCAGTGTAAGCGGCACATTTCCTACAATTCTGCTCTGAGCAATATGAAAGACTCATGAAAATTTCAAAAGCAACATAAAAACATTGAGTCCTAAACAGTGGTGCTATTAAAAGCTGTAAGAAATAGACAGCATGTTAAAATATCCATTTATATAATTATTATAATATATATACATATATAACATATATTAAATATATGATCATCATTACAAGATGTAATAATGCAGCATTGTACTCTGTGTTGGCTGAAGCCCTTGATGGTAGAAACTGCCATTTCCTCAATTCTCAAGGCTATTTTAACAACCACTCCCCAGATTGTATCCTCCTGTTTCCTCTGTCCCTCTTTGCATAGACTTTATCTTGAAAAGACACCTCTGACATGGTTTGAACTGCATTTATCCTGGAATTGATTTTTCAGAACTATCTGAGGGAAAAAATCCTTTTTATCCTTTTTAATTGGCTCTTTTTCTACATCATTTAACCATATTAATGAGGGCTGAAATTTACACATAGTCATTGTTTGTAATGACAGTGTTTATACGTGTTGAAATTTTACTAAACTTCCACAGCAGTAAATATGTTTTCTAGTGTACAGTGATTGCAGATTAATTTTTGGAGAAATGGTTTTTATAAGCCTTATTATTTAGCTGCGATTTTCTCCGATGATGCTTAAAAGAACTGTCTTCCCTGCCACCCCTCCCAGATAGATTGTCCTTACTGAAGCAAAGCTTATGTGTGTGTGTGTGTGTGTGTGTGTGTGTGTGTATGTACATATGTTTCACTTTACCATTGGAAATACATCATCTCTACCAACTAGATAAAAAGTTGGGTTTAGGTTGAAAATAAGGTCTAGAAAAGTAGTGTTTATCTGTATGCCAACAAATGCACATTAATGAAAACTCTGTGTTTGGCAATGAGATTTTGTCCGTCTGCTTGTTTAGCTTAATGAAGCAGGAGTAACAAACACTGAATGAAGTTAAAACTGAGCAATGGAAACAGAAATTGAAGGAGGTTTTCCCTTATTTCCTTCAGCAACACATACCTTACAAGTGCACTGTCCAGTTTGATCACTACAGGAGCATTTTTTAGTCTCTAAATCACAGGTGGTAGCATCTGTTCCAGGGAGGAAGCAGTCACAGAGATGGCAGCGTGGGTAGTTCCAGTGACCTCGACTGCACTCTGTACATTTTGTACCCGAGAATTTTGGATGACAGTTGCATTGGCCTGTGTTTACATTGCATTGGAAATCCAAGGATCCCACTGTGCTGCAGTTACAAGCCTATGGAGGGGATAAAAACAGCAACCATTAACACAACTTTATGGGAAATATCTTAAAATTTTAATTCTAATGTTCCTGCTTCCATTAAACATGTATTAATCGTGTATCTATTATATGCTTTGTACTATTCTAGTTTAGTCACTTGGGAAACATCAGTGAACATAAACATTAAAATTGCTTCCTGCATTTATGAGAATATATGATCATCCAGAAACCATAATGCTATGTGAATTAGAAAGAAAATGTGTTTTCTCTGTCTTCTGGAGGTAGAGAAGAGTTGGGTATGGGTTTTCTTCAACTGCTCTTTGTCTCAAAGATTAAATTTTATCTTATTATCTTATAATTTTAGCATTTAAACATTTCTTTGGAGACATATCTTATGATCTAGTAAAGGGAGACAAGTAAATATGTTAACATAACATGATAGAATAAGCATTATATAATAGGAGAAGTCCAAAATGCCATGTGAACATCTACAGAGCACCAAACTAGACTTGGGGAATCCATGGTGAGCTTGAAGAGAAGTAACATCTAGTATACTGATTTTTCAGATTTATTCTTGCATACAATTCTGATTTGAGGAATTTATTAGTAATGTTATTTCTTTGCCCAAGATGTATATAGGATTTTCTCTTTATTTACATAATTCAAATTTTTGCTAGAATTTTTTAAGCTTGAGGATTTTTTTTTTCATCAATTTACTGGAACATGGTGAGTTCTTTCATTTTGGGAACATAATTGTGTTTTGATTCAGTACTGTTTTTTCTTCAGATTTGTCTTTCATTTTTACATCTGTTCTAATTAATCAGTTTTCTTTTTCAGGATTACCTATAATTCTTAAAGTATATTTCCCTGGTCTATCTGTCAAATCTATAATATCCTAACGTCTTCTGCAATCATTTTCCTTTGCTTTATGTTTCTTCCTATATTTACCTCTCAAATTAATTCCCTATTTTTACAGCTACCGCTTTACAGGAAAAGTTTTATTGTATACACATACCACCAATGCTTATTTTCATTACCCTATTGCAATCTTAACTTCTTTTGAATAATTTTATTTCATTTCACTCATCTTTAATTTCTGCTTATCCACTTGTCTTTTTGATTTATATTCTCCTTTTAAAGGTTTCTGCTCCTGATTTACAGAGCTCGTATCTTCTTGAAATTTAATAAAAATGCCAAATGAATTTCTAAAATGTCATTTAGGATCTGGAATAAGTAATTTTTCAGGGACCAGCTGTGCCAGTTTTCCATCTACTGTTTCTGAACTCTAAATTCACCCTGCTTTGTGATACAGCAGTTAGACCCTGTAGACAGTTCTCTGTATTGGGTGGTAGAATATTAGGCTTAGTCAATAGAGAGCCCTGGAAAGACCCAGTAAGTCCATAATGGCGGCCCTCCACACTTCCAGGCTGAGTTCTGGTTCTTCATTAGAATCTTCATCATTATTTTTGTATTATTTAGCATGGGAGCCCAGTGTCCCAGAAAGAATCCCAGCTGTGCCCTTAGTTGGGAGGGCACATTGCCTCCCCATAGGCACAGTGAAAACCACAATATCTTTGAACAGTGGAGTCTTTTACACTAATAAAAATTAAATCTAAATGAAGAAAGAGTTAAAGAAAAATCAAAAATGAAAATGTTTCCACTCCAAAAAATCATGATTCCCTAAGGTTGGTAGAACGAATGTGTAACAAGTCCTGGTTGTCATCAGTGCATTAGCGCCCATCAACATTCATGCTCTGGTGCCCTCTCTTCCCATCCCAAAGCACAATGCTGAACCAAAAAGAGTTAAGTCACAGACAAAGTACAAACACTATATGGTAGCAAACTCAGACACTTGTCTGTACTAGCTTTGGTCTGCACACATGCCCTGAGCTTGAAGTTTGCTTCTCAGTAGCTCCTGCATGCTCCTATGCCCCAAGAACAGTGGGCAGTTTCTACAGACACATTTGTCTACAAAATCTTGCATGTTTGTTTTGGTTTTGTCTGACCACCCATAGGCTGTATGTTTCTATGACAACACCACCTTCTTCAAAGACCTCTGAACCTCAGCTTTGCTGAATATTGGAGGAGCATGCCCTTTCTTAGCCCTTAACTCCTTCACTGTCTCCCCTCCCTCAGCCTAAAGGGAGTAGCTGCTCTTCTGTACCTGTACTTGGGACCCCTTATAGCTTTCTTTTATCCGTTTTTAGTAACCAACCACCTTTTACCAGTTAACAATTCTACTTCACTGTTTAAAAAACCTGTGTGGTTTCTGTCTCCCAAGCAAAGCATGACTCAGTATTAGAAAGGTTATCGCCTCTCTGTGTCTGAGCTCACCACCATATAGTGTTTGTACTTTGTCTGTGACTTAACTCTTTTTGGTGCTGTTCTATTAACCTTCTCAGATCTACAGTTCAATGGTGAACTCATATGCATAGCACCTTGCCAAATTCCTGGAACCAAGTCTGGCTGCATCTCACTGTGTATCTCACACCTGCCCTCCTGAGCTTCATTCTTATATCCACTGCTACCAAGGGTGTTCCCGTTTTTGTTGCTGCTAACAGTAGTTTACTTGTGAGATTATTGTTTCTAGGATGTGAAGTATAATCACCAGCTTCTCCTCTATTGTCTTTCCCGCCCAAATATTTGGTGAAATATCTTCCCAGGTTCTGATATTAAAATAATCATCAGACTTGGATGTATATCTTGTCTTCATAGGTAAGTATTTTTCTATCTCCTTATTGCTGATCAGTAAAAAGGCTGCAATAAGGGCTGTGACTAGAAGATATTTTAAACCCAAAGATCTAAAATGTGGTTATTTGCATATCACCAGCATGGACACAGCTTCTAAGGCATAGAATAACCCACTAACCTCACCCCCAAGTAATTTAAAGAACATCAGATGTAGAATAACCTTTCAAAATTAGGATGACTTACATATTCACTTACATAGTTTTTCTTTGACAATTGCTTTGAGTATGTATTAACTCACTTAAACAAAATGGGCCATAATAGAAATTATGGTATTAATAGAAAATTTTGTTATCAAAACTATAATAATATAATAAATTTAAATTATTCTGAGAAATCCTTATCTTTAAATAACTAAAATATGAAATTATCCAAATAATTGTATAAAACCAAAGAACAAATTCTTAAGAAATAGTTGACAATACAAATAGAGATTGGGATTTTTCAAATCAGGAAGTTTATTCAGGAAGGTATAGTGGAGAATAAACCAGACCATTAACCATGTGTTTAGATAGTACTATGGCCAACATTAAACTTAAATCATAATTATACGTAATATTTGTTTAGCAATAGAGGATTTACTATTCCCCTGCTAGTGAAAGAAGGCAGGCTTGGTTTTCTACTTCAGTAAAGGCTCAAATGATGTGTATGCTCACACCTTAGCACAGGGAAATTATCCATGACACAGAGAAAGGGGAGGCATAAATCTTAAATCACTGCTCATTTAAATTAGTCATGCCAGTTTTAAAAATAGTAAAATACAGGCTCATAAATGAATTCCTTGAGGGGGCTCTGATACAGTTGGATGTATGTCCCCACCAATTCTCATGTTAAAATATAATCCCCAATGTTGGAGGTGAACCAGTGGGAGGTGTTTGGATCATGGGGGCAGATCCTTCAGGACTTGGTGCTGTCTCCATGACAGCGAGTGCCTACTGGCAAGATCTGGTTGTTTAAGTGTGTGGCATCCCGCCTTTCTACCAATCCTGTCTTGGGGACACCTGTCCCCGCTTGGCCTTCCACCATGATTAGAAGCTTCCTGAGGCCTTCACCAGAAACAAATGCCACTGTGCTTCCTATACGGCCTCCAGAACTGTGAGCCAATTAAACCTGCTTTCTTAGAAATTAACTAGTCTCAGGTGTTTCTTTGTAGCAGTGCAAGCATGGTCTGACAAAGGCTTTATGAGTTTTTTTTTTTTTGTAATTTTCATAATGGTGAAGTGTTTCACTATTCAGAATTTTAGACTTTTAATGGTGATTTTAAAGTAATCCAAATTCGATCAGCTTTAGTCAACAGAATAATTATTTAATGATCAGTAAAAATGATAGTACCAAACACATAACTATGTTTTTATAGAAATTTGGACCGAACGTTTATATATTGAACATTAGGCATCAACTTCAGTTTCAGGAATTTAATTAGAGTTTGGCTATATCATAGAATTTTGTGGGTAAAATGGAAATATTTAGCTTTCCATAGGGCTTATTCCTAGTCTAAGTAATAGAGTGGATGCTTGGATTTGAAGCTGAAAATGCAAAAGTTGGTCATAGGCACTTGTAGCATTGTTCATACTCATCAGAGCACTTTGAAATTCTGAGGAATTTTTGTTTTGTTTCTAAAAATGTAGCTCTCTCAAATTTTAAACTTAATAATGCTATTGGCAACAGAAAAATGAATGTCCTGTCCAGTTTTTATTTAATCACATGTCTAATTGAAGTCAGATATCTGAATTTCCTTGAAGAATCATCAATATTCTTGTTTTCCTCTAGGTCAGCATATTCTAGACTAGGTTCAAATTTTTTATCATATATGTGAAGATGGTTAGAGACTATTATTTCATCTGTGCTAACTTAGGGGAAAAAAGAGTTCACAGCTCTATAAGGTACTGCTATAGGGTCAAACTGAACCACACTTTGTTATCATATTCCAATATTCCACAACCCAATGGAATCAATTAAAATGACTCCCACTAACATAAAAAAATGCCCTTATTATTGCTCTTAAATCTAATGGACGCACTTCAGGGCTAATCCTACTTGACCTTTGTGTTGCATTAGGCACTGAAGAATATTCTTCTTTTGAACAGTCTCTTCTTAGTGTTTACAGTACTTATTCTTCTTTGTTAAGCTGTTCAACTACACAACCAAATAAAACAAAAATTCAAACCAAGAAACAACTGCTTTTAGATATTAAATTACAGGAGGCACAGGACTGTGATTTCTGACAGAAGGAAAAAAAAACATGAAGCAGTGCACAGGGGCAGTTT